GGAAAAATAATGGAGGGAGGAAGCCAAAAATCATTAGACTGCTGTTCTTCCACTTGTGTGCATTGAGTCCAGTGCTTGATCTAAACTGCCTGCTTTGATGACTGATATTTTAGCACATATTTTCCATTTTCTTCAAGAGGACAATTTCATTAGCATAATTATTCTCAGTTTTAGTATTTTCTTGTCAGCCCAAAACAGCATTGCTTCACACTGTGGATGATAAAGACCTTCAGACTGTGTGTTGTACATTTTGTTTGACATTGTTACATGCAAGGTGATAGTCAGTATGTGTCCCACTGCTTTTCAGTCTGTTGCTGACAGCCAAGCCATAATTCATTGGACACTTGCTAATACTTTTCAGAATCTGACTGGTGTTAATGTCTCCTTTGGTTTTCCTGGTAAATTACCTCCAAAGAAGCAAAAAGTAACAAGAGAGACTTTCTAGTTGCTACTCTTCCGTTTGATCACTGGTGAGCTCCCTGTGGGTCCCTCCTCAGTTGTTACCAGCAGGGCAGAGGGTCTGCACAGTCGTGACTTTCAGAGGAGGCATCTACAGAAGGATTGTCAAACATTAACTCCATGGTGAAGAAGCTGCAGCTCTGAATGTCTGGAATGCTATGTTAGGTGCTGCCTTTGGTGCTGAAAGGTTTTCTGTCATCTTTGGCAAGGGGGAATTAGGATGACTCCAGCTCCTTGAAGGAACTGTCAGTTTTGTTACTTTGTATAAGTTTCTGAAATTGTGTGATGAAGCAAATACATCTGAAAAGTAAAAACATACAGGGAAAACGTGTTCAGTATTTCAACTGGTTGGATTGGTTGTTCTTAGTGTAGGACCCAAATGGCTACTGCTCTTTTCTCTCTTCTCTAACTCTATGATCTTCTTCACCATCACTTTTTCTTCTCTTTTGATAGGATGAAAAAGCAGAGGGATTCATTAGTTTGCCTGAGTTCAGGATAGATAGAGCAATTGAATGCAGACGGAAACAGTAAGTAACGTGTCCATTATGTCTATAAATCAAAGGATCACTCTTGGAAGTGAACTATATATAGTACTGAAAGTTTGCAAAGTGCAAAAAGTTACACAGAAAACCTAGACGTGTAACTATTACATAATACATCCTCTTCAGCTTTAGTGTTCCTCTTTATTACAAAAGATACAACTTAAGGTAAATTCTATTACATGTCCTACAAAGAGCAGGGTCACTCTTTGGTCAGCCTTCCAGATAGCCCAGTTAAAACAGCAAACAACTAAAGAAAAAAACAACACATTAGACAAGAGATAAAACTGTCTTAGGTTCAGTGTGGTCATCTTGATAAGAATGAAGTGTGCAAGAAACAATCCCCCTAGGAAGCACCATAAAAAATATCATAGTGAGGGATGGTGAATATCCATTTTCTCCTCTACAGAGGACACTTACGCACCCAATATTGTGTTATTTTCAACTGTTAAAATATTTAGGTTCCATATCCCATGACCACTGTGCTCTTGCTTCTGTGCATATTGCTCCTGCAGTGTTATGCTCCCATATGCTGAGCTCTGCCACACTTAGGGCAAGGTGAACACCAGCCACTCCAGCAGTGCTGGGAGTTGGGTGCCTCACTGCCAACCAGCAGGTCAACAGAACCGTTCTCACCCTTTAAGATGAGGTGTCTCCTGAGTGATTTGCATCTGTCTTCTGTATGTATCTCTCAAAACGTGCTGCCATGGGGAGCTACAGAGAATAGCATTACAGATGCTCTCTCACTGAAACTAACCTACTTAGATATAAGCATCCTACACTTTTGTTGTGCTTTTCCAATGACTAAACACAGTTTTGGTCTGAGGAATAGAAGTCCTACACTTATGAACAAGAATATAATAAAAATACTAAAGGTATGAATTACAATAGAGACTGCTCATCAGAAAATCAAACCTCTTCAATCCTTTGTTGTTGTCTGGAGTTATTATTAGTGTCTGTCTGAGAAACAGAAGGCAGTGCAATTTATACTTTAATTACTCCTTTCAGCTGAGAGTATCACTAGAAATTAAACGTGAGCTGAGCACTGGAAATCCCTCTGAGGAATGAGTAGATATTAATAATGATATTGACCAAAAATACAGAAAAAAATAATACCCTTTTGTTAGAACATAAAACACTTAACAAATTTCAGTGAATTAACCAAGATCAAACAGAAGGTCATTGTGCACAGCTACAAATGGCTTTCAGAGCTTTCCTCTAAGCATTAGAACACATTTCCTTAGAACACTTTTAGAGAACAATTTCTGTGGGGTATGTGCACAGGAAAAAGTCAGATTAACTAGAATTTTGCACACTACTGAAAGCTGAATACCTTCAGGCTTTGAATCCTTTCAGAAAGAGGTAGGTTCAGGGCTAGAAATATAATGAAGACATTAATGGTATTCCCTTTCCTCACTGAGCTGAGTTTCCCTTTGATTTCTTCCTTCATGGACTATCATTTGTACATTTCCCCCATCATACAAGCTGCACCTTACATTTGCCACTGCCACCTGCTCCTCAGAGAACAGCAGGGAAAGCAAATCCAGTGTTAAGCCTGTTTGAGTGTATCCAGCCTGTGGGAATGAAGGGCCCTGCTGGTGTTGCAGCCAGCTCCAATCCACAACCTCTATAAGCCCACGTTTTAAGCATTCCTTTTACAAATAAAATCAAGGTGAAGGTGATTCACTTTGACCCAGCATATTCTGGAAAAGTTCTAAAGCACACATTGTTACCCTCTCTGCTACACTAGAGGAAAACATTACTGCTAGGATTTTCTTTCCTCCTTTTCAGAGGTCAAGGGGAAGACAGATTTGACAGGATCACTATCCACATTAGGATATCTCTTATTTAATAGGGGGGTTTAAAATAGGTGCTGGAATGTAACCTAAAATTCATTGCAAGCTTGAAATCTGCAAATATAAATCTGGCTGTGTCCTGACTTATGTCTATATGATGGAGTCCTTATAAATGTTAATGCAAAAAGTAGTAAAGCTGTTTCCTTGACTCAATAAGGACAGGGGAAAGAAACCTAGATTTTTACCTTCTTCTTTTTTTAATTTTTGTTAGGTTCATATGGTTTTAAATCAAAATTGCCTGAAAAGTATGCTTGGTACTTCAGAGCATAAAGAAGTCCAGCTAAAATCAGTGATAGTTTTATTTCAGCTCTCTCAAAAGCAAAAGACCATTTTGAGACTCGGCTTGGATCTCTCCTCAAATTTCTGTTATTTTCAGAGCTATCAATGTGCAATTCTCAAACCTTATTCTCTGTACATGTAGAACTATTGCTTTCTGCACCTGCCTCAAAGGAGGTTGTAGAGAGAGAAGTGCCAGTCTATTCTGACAAGGAACAAGCAATAGGGTGTGTAGAAATGGCCTCAAATTGTACCAGGGAAGGTTTAAGCTGGATATTAGGAAAAATTCCTTTACAGCCTCTGAGGAATGAGTAGATATTAATAATGATATTGACCAAAAATACAGAAAAAAATAATACCCTTTTGTTAGAACATAAAACACTTAACAAATTTCAGTGAATTAACCAAGATCAAACAGAAGGTCATTGTGCACAGCTACAAATGGCTTTCAGAGCTTTCCTCTAAGCATTAGAACACATTTCCTTAGAACACTTTTAGAGAACAATTTCTGTGGGGTATGTGCACAGGAAAAAGTCAGATTAACTAGAATTTTGCACACTACTGAAAGCTGAATACCTTCAGGCTTTGAATCCTTTCAGAAAGAGGTAGGTTCAGGGCTAGAAATATAATGAAGACATTAATGGTATTCCCTTTCCTCACTGAGCTGAGTTTCCCTTTGATTTCTTCCTTCATGGACTATCATTTGTACATTTCCCCCATCATACAAGCTGCACCTTACATTTGCCACTGCCACCTGCTCCTCAGAGAACAGCAGGGAAAGCAAATCCAGTGTTAAGCCTGTTTGAGTGTATCCAGCCTGTGGGAATGAAGGGCCCTGCTGGTGTTGCAGCCAGCTCCAATCCACAACCTCTATAAGCCCACGTTTTAAGCATTCCTTTTACAAATAAAATCAAGGTGAAGGTGATTCACTTTGACCCAGCATATTCTGGAAAAGTTCTAAAGCACACATTGTTACCCTCTCTGCTACACTAGAGGAAAACATTACTGCTAGGATTTTCTTTCCTCCTTTTCAGAGGTCAAGGGGAAGACAGATTTGACAGGATCACTATCCACATTAGGATATCTCTTATTTAATAGGGGGGTTTAAAATAGGTGCTGGAATGTAACCTAAAATTCATTGCAAGCTTGAAATCTGCAAATATAAATCTGGCTGTGTCCTGACTTATGTCTATATGATGGAGTCCTTATAAATGTTAATGCAAAAAGTAGTAAAGCTGTTTCCTTGACTCAATAAGGACAGGGGAAAGAAACCTAGATTTTTACCTTCTTCTTTTTTTAATTTTTGTTAGGTTCATATGGTTTTAAATCAAAATTGCCTGAAAAGTATGCTTGGTACTTCAGAGCATAAAGAAGTCCAGCTAAAATCAGTGATAGTTTTATTTCAGCTCTCTCAAAAGCAAAAGACCATTTTGAGACTCGGCTTGGATCTCTCCTCAAATTTCTGTTATTTTCAGAGCTATCAATGTGCAATTCTCAAACCTTATTCTCTGTACATGTAGAACTATTGCTTTCTGCACCTGCCTCAAAGGAGGTTGTAGAGAGAGAAGTGCCAGTCTATTCTGACAAGGAACAAGCAATAGGGTGTGTAGAAATGGCCTCAAATTGTACCAGGGAAGGTTTAAGCTGGATATTAGGAAAAATTCCTTTACAGAAAGGGTTGTCAGGCCCTGGCCCAGGCTGCCCAGGGCAGTGGTGGAGTCCCCATACCTGGACATGTTTAAAAGCCATGTAGATGTGGTGCTGAGGGACTTGGTTTAGTGGTGGCCTTAGTAGAGTTGGGTTAATGGTTGAACTTTATGGTCTTAAAGGTCTTTTCCAACATGAACAGTTCTATGATTCTGTGATTTCCCTGGAGGCTTTACTACAGGTCTTAATGCTAGTGTATCTAAATTCTTCTCTAATAACAATCTTTGTGACACTCTGGGTGATTAAAATTGGTTTATTGTCCCATTTTGCAGCCCAGAAACAGAGCTGGAAAACATTTAAAGAAAAAGTTTCCACAGAATTGGGATCTCCATTTCATAGCAATAAAACATAACCATGAACATTTCATAACATATCCTCATGTATGTAAATATATAGCAGCACAATACATTCTTGCAACTCTAAGTGCTCACCATTTCAATAAAATATCAGAATATCAGACAAAAAGACATTAAAAAATATGTAGTAGTCAATTATTAAGTTTGTTTGCTGTGGCTTTGCAGCACAGGAGAACTCCTTTGCATAAGCAGGAAGACCTTCAGCATTTCATTGGTTTAGCCTTAAACAAATTCTTGTTCTTTCTGCCTCTTATGACACATCACAAAACCATAGCAACTGAGACAGGAGGCCTTCAAAAAGTAGCTTTATCTGTTGCATAGTCCTGACTCACCTGTCTGACATGACCACTCTCTGGGCCTTCACTGAGCTGGGGTTCCTGTGAGAATGTAGAATTCAAACACATAATAACATCTTGTACCACAACACGAGAGCGTAGTGGAGCCAAATTGAAGTGCTGTTTATCACACTAACTCTGACATATTTTAACTTTGAAAATACTGACTTTGAAGGCTCAATATTGGCATTTTAATGCTTTTTTTGTATGTAAATTTCCTGTCTAGGAAAATAATCCTATTTACAAGCAGAAACTCCATCATGTGATATTCTAACAGGATTAATCAAGAGGATTAGGATCTTTAGATCCACCAAATAATCCTCTCCAATTCGAGCTGATACTTCCAGCTCAGAGTTGGAAGACAGTCGGCTGAAAGGAACACCAGAAGGGGGAGTTTGTTGCACAGAGTTCAGACCAACTGCAACCAGTGTGCTGACATTGCAGGGAAAAATACAGCTGTGGTAAGAGCATTCCCTGCTTAAACAGCATCACAATCCGGGAGCATTGGTTTAGTAATGGCTTGGTTTGAGTGTTAAAAAATAAGTCTTGTAAGGAACTTCTGTAAGGAGGTACTGGGTTTTAGATTTAATTCCCCAGGACATAAAGACAGATCCAAAACTATTCCACATGTCCTGCTGACAAGTCTCTGCTGGAGCAGTTGGAGTTGCTGGTAGTCAACTGGCATAAGGGAGTGAAAAGTTCCACATTAAGAAGCAGGAGACTAAAAAAGATAAGAATACTTGACACTAAAATCATAGTATACTAATCGGGTAATACATTTGATCAGAGGACGCTTAAAGCTGTATTTATATGGTCATCAAAATCTCTCCCACTAACACCTCACCACCCAGCAGGTATAATTAACAAGCCGATGCCATCTAGTGGGCATCAGAGAAGCTCTTTCCCCAGTCGGGATTTCTCATGTACTCGGTATTTGCTCTAGCAAAACACAAGCAGCAAGGGAGATGAGGATCTGCAGTTGCAATTAGCACCGTCCAGATGCCCAAATGATAATTAAATGCCTCTCAATTCTGGTTTTATGGCATTAAGATGCTTTATGAAGCCTCTCTCTGCGAAGGTGAACTTACCCTTAATGTACTTGTAATCTAATGGAAAAGGAAACTGCCCATGATCACAACTCTGCTACTGCCTCATTCCTCTGTACAACTTCTGTTAGGAAAGCCTGTTCCTGTCTGCATTTGTATTAACCAAGCACACCAGTGTGCCCAAGTGAAGCTTCTTCAGCTTTCTTTTTCGTCTCTGAAAAGCGCAATAAATCAGAGCAATTATTAAAATGCTCATTTGCATTTAACATATTAATAGTAGAAACGTTGCATCACAGGTTTTTCATTGTGCCATGTGTGCTGGTTCCTAATTTAATTCTTGCATCTGGTAATTACCATATAATTGTCAGTATTTTAACATAAATGTTATGAATGATAGAGGGGGGGTTAACATTTGCCAACTAAACAAAATAATAGTCTTTAATGATCTGAGTTTCTGGTTTCCTTGACAGCAATTCGTCTTTGAACTATATTCACACACAAAAATTGTAAAAGAAAAAATGATTATTGTTCTGGTTACACAAATTAAACAGTACAGGCTGTGAAGTTAAACCTGCTGTGATATACTTTGGGAACTATACCAGTGATTTCTAATTTTACTTGAACTTTCCAAAGAACTTCAGTCTATAAATTAATCTTCAGAACAAATTTAAAATCACCAAAGGCAAGGGGGGGGGACCCAACAGCTGTGATTTCTTGTCTCAAAAGCTGTCAGTGAGAACAGGCTGTGCCATACAAGAAGGTGAGATGCACAGAACTGGCCATGAACTATAATGTAACAATAAATACTAGGCTTAAATCTAAATACAATTCTGTTATTTGATAGGTGGCACATGAGGAAGCATTAACTAGTAATTAACTATTTGATTGCAGAAACAGTAGAGCAAAGATTAGCAGATTAAGAAGAGAAGCACCTGGGATATGGCTGGTTTTAACAGCAACTTGACAAAGCAATCCCTGGAATTTGAAGTGACTACTTAGATTGAAGGCTATTTAAGGATCTTTATTATTATCTACCTCCAAACAAAGCAAGCCTACTACTTATATTCCCTAGATTATTCTATATGCTCCTATTAAGCTCAAATTCAATGAAGATTATAATTAGGGATGTAAAAATATTGTGTGAAGCTTAGAAAACATTTATTTAAGCTCATTCTAGAGATCTTAAATTCTCTTAACTAAGTAAAGACAATTTGAGGGTGGAGTATTTTTAGTGCCATCTCTAGTTGAATGCAATTTCTGGCTGGTTATTAATCTTTATATTCCTTCTCTTCCTCATTTATGAATGTAAAATACAGTTTTGGATAAATTAACGTATGTCTTTAGAATCAAAGTTACAACAAAGATATGAGACAGTTTTGCCACATAAATTGGCAGTCCACTGTTTTTCTTTGAATAAGACACAAACCACAGACACCTAAATATGCAAGAAGAGGCAGTGGGATCAAACTCTTACTCCTTTACAATAGTTGATCTTAGGAATCTAATTTGTACTTAAATATACTCAGTGAGATTTTGATATTTACCCAACAAGTTTTTAGATGTGGTTATCGAAAAGATTTACATTTCTGAGTCATCCAAAAGCTTCTGAAATTTGTACAAAGTACCAGTTAGTTTGCAAATGTCAATGCAATCAGATCAGTAGGAATCCATCTATAATTCTATCCAGCAAGAGATTCAGGCTGAGGATGCAAAATGCCTCCGAAAGCTGCAACACACTGAAGGAATGCCCAGCACATCAGTCTTCTGTATTTGTAGAGAAACTGTTTGAAAGAAAAGGTATCCTTTCTTTTTTTGTGCTTCTTTTATAGTGCCTTCAAAGCATGCCACCCCAAAATAAAGAGCTTCTACTTTGCAACAGACTGCCTTGAAGAAATGAACAGGTAAGTTACATGTCCTTTATCACTGTACTCCAATCACTGAAACTAGTATTTCATCTCACACAGAAATAATCCTCTTGGAGCAGGATGTAATGCTGACTGATTGTGTCCTCAGCACAGTCCCCCCGGACCCCCACTGATTTCAGTATGTAAAGCTTTGCCTTGTGGGGCTCATTTTATTTCTGCTGCTGTTTTCTGCCATGTTACCTGGTACAGTTCTGCCAGGGTGTGCTGGGGAAGTTAGTTGTGTCAGTCTCATCTATGCTCATTAGAATTGTTGTTTGTTAGTATGCATAAAGTTTCTCACATTTCTAATTTTGTGTTGATCTAGGACAGAAATATTAACATGGGATAAAAGCTTCTGGTACATAATAACAGTGCACCCAAACCAAAGCTCATGTTTCAGTGTACACCCACATGATGGGACAAAACAGTTTTCAGTTAGTTCTGCTGATAATCCACAGTGATGTGGCATGACCAGAGAAAAGCAATTTGAAGCAACATTTTAACAGGAATGGGATTGAACTAAAGAGACGCATTTATTTTTCATGCCAGAATTTAAATTAAAAAAACAAACAAACAACAAACCAAACACCAAAAAACCCCACCCAAAAAAGCAACAAAACCCCCACCCCCAACATCAACAAACTCACCAGCAATTCATTTGATTCATTGCATCACTGTCCCAACAAGGAGCAGAGGCTAGCAAAGTTCAACGGTGACACTACTGTGTGTTTTTAAATATCCTTGGAGGTGCTGGGAGGGCACTCAGAACTTGACTGGACAAGGCCCTGGACAACCTGATCCCACAGTAAAGCTGGCCCTGCTGTGGACAGGTGGGAACAGCTCTTCCCACCTCAACCACCCTGTCCTTCTGTTTGGTGATTCAGTGCTGAAGGTAGAGGCTGGATAAAGTTGGGGAGGTACCTTTGATCCTCAAAGGCAGAGCCAAATGTTCTACCTCCTCCTGTTACTTCAGTAATTTATTTATTCTCAGCTGAGGCAAAAAGCAAGGACACATGGGACAATGTTCTCATACCTTGAAGTCTTAAATCTTTCCTGGTGCAGACTGCTGAAACTCTGAGATATGCTGAGTTCTTGCTGTTTGCAAACTCAGATTCAACTACCTGATGATGCAGCTGGATTTCTTTTTTTTTAATACTAATATCTAAAAATTATTTTAAAATTAAACACCTTTTATTCTGTGGCTTATATGGCCCTTCAAGAAATATTGCATTGATGTTCAAGGCTGTCTGTAGTGAAAGAGTTCAGACCAGTCCATCATCCACTGATGATGATCAGTTCCCATGAGTATCTCTCTGTGACTAATTGCCATTTTTAGGATGTCAATTTGTTGAAAATATTTGTCCAATATTAGTGATGTTCCAGTGTTCAGTTATTTGGTGTGGCTGAGATTTTTCTGGTCCAAAACTGATGTCAGGATCTTCTGCTGGTTTTGACAATACATGGCTTCTCCCTGGATTTTAGCTACTTGGATAGCTATGATTTGTTGAACTGCCATTGATCACATCTTTCTATTTGTCCATAAAATGTTCTGACTCAAGGAGAACCAGGAAGACTTGACACACATTCAATAAACTGCTCTTATAATATTCATTGATTTTTCTACTCTGAGGAGCCAATGACACTGTCTTTGTGACTGTTTCACAGCCTTCATGGAGAGTAACAACTGGAAAGGTGCCAGGATGTATTTTCATATCAAACTGCCATGTTAGTTTGGAATTTATGAGACTCTTTTTCCTGACTTTTTGAGCCTGCTTCCCATGAGAGTTGGCAAAGGGTGAACTTCCCCTTGAAGTATTTTTTGCAGTGTTTTTCCTTCAGAAATGCTGTTCCTGTAGAGCAATTTTAATTCACATTCAGCCCAAATGATGGATTACTGTGCTCCTTCTGTCAAATCCCTGGGCATCCCCTGCAGCCTTTACATGCTCCCTGGCATTCCTTCTTACAGATGCCCTGTGTGAAATTTGAAATGAGCAAGCCAGAATCCTAGATAAAAAATGCACTTTAAAATACTGATTTCGCAAATCTCTGCTTTCCCAGCAAATTGCTAACCATGTCATCTGAGGAAACAGGGCAAATCATCCACGTGGTATCTCACACTCCTGTTGTCACCATTAAATTTAGCTGGATTTTCTGTGCTAACAGAGGGGTAGATCTTTTACACTGAAAAGTGAAGGAGTTCTAATAGGAAGAGGAACACAGCATCCATCTGTTTTCACTTTGTAGGGAGCATATACTTTTCTTCAACTGCATTATCAGCAGCTTTTGTTTTAACATCTGTTTTTACAGTTTCTTTCTTCAGATTCACTGTTTCATATGGGTTTTTTCCCCTCTCCAGAATATTTTAATCTGCCTTTAATACTTCCTTGCTGTTGAAAGAACTGTGTGCCAATGGGTAGTAATTGATTTGTCTGTAGCAGATAGAGTTCCTGTGTTGTAGCTGAGTTTTCCCTGCTGTGTTGCACAGTGCAGGCAGCCTTTGGTTTGCAAAATTAATGTGCATGCTGTTTTGTCAGGTCTTACATGGGCACAGTTGTGTTCTTAGAAATGAATTAATAATGAAATTGATGAGCTCATCTTTTGCTTGCCACGGTCACGGGGTTCTCCAGGCTTCTTCAAGGCCTTATCTCCCAGAACTGCTTCATCTGTTACCAAACCATGCATAACCTGTTTATGGCTTTAGTACTCCAAAGGAAATCAGCATTGAATTTAATATTCAGCTGTTTTATAACATCTACTCGATTTAAAACTTCCCTGTGATTGAAGTATGCAGTGCATTCACAAGCTCCTCGTGGGCTCCAAATATTAAAAATGTAAAAGTTCCTATTTTAGGCTGAATAATTTGCTCATATTTGATTGGAATAGCTAGGTTAACATTGCCATTTTAGTAATTACCATCAATCTTCTGCATTCATTCAAAAAATACAACTAATAGCTGCTACCCACTGAAACAGAGTGAGGATTGATTTTTGTAGAGCTCACATCCAGTATTTTCCAAGGAAAGACCTGAAAGATTCTAACACAATATTTCTTTTAAAAGAAATTGTTTGAAAATGCAGCTGTTCTGAATTAAATCTCCATTGATTATAAGCAAATTTCAGGGTGCAGGTCTCCTGCATTGTTATGTATGGAATGTAACAAAGTGAGATACACACGGTTTTCCCTAAACAGTTTATTTATTGCTGAAGTCCATTCAGCTTTCTTCCTTAAATTTTAGGCATGTTAGTCTCCTTGATTTATCTTGCCCAACTCAGATGGTGGACCAGTATTAAGGCATCTTTTATAGTTTTAATATTCTTCCAGACTCTACTTAGGAATAAGCTCACACCTGGGAAAAGATCTTGGCAACTAAACATTTCAGCCATAGGCCCCTATCAGACATTGCCCCTGCTCAACAAGAGTTCCTGGAGAAGTGAGCAGGAGAGAAACCATGTCAGAGCTGTCTGTCCTAGTTGAACAGATCTTTAACAAATGAGGTGGAAGGAGAACTGGCTGTGTGACAGAGCTCAGAGGGCTGTGATTCATGGAGCAGGGCCAATTTGGAGGCCTGTAACCAGTGGTGCCCCCAGTGGTCAATACTGCATCTGGTCTTGTCCAACATATTCTGGACAAGGGGACAGAGCGTGTCCTCAGCAAGTTCACTGGTGATACCAAACTGGGAGGGGTGGTGACACTCCCGGGGCTGTGCTGCCATCCAGTGTGACCTGGAGAGCTGGGCAGAGAGGAACCCAATGAAGTTCAACAAGGGCAAGTGTAGGTTCCTGCACCTGGGGAGAAAGAACCCCATGCACCAATAGAGGTTAGGGGTGGACCTGCTGGAAAGCAGTTCCCGAGAGAAGGATCTGGGAGTCCTGGTAGGTAGTAAATGATTAATGAGCCAACAGTGTGTCCTTGTCACCAAGAGGGCCAGTGGAATCCTGGGGTGCAAAAGGAAGTGTGGCCAGAAGGTTAAGAGAGGTCATCCTCCCCCTCTACTCTGCCCTGGTGAGGCCACATCTGGAGAACTGAGGCCAGTTCTGGGCTCCCCAGTTCAAGAGAGACAGGGAACTGCTGGAGAGAGTCCAGGGGAGGGCAACAAAGATGACTGGGGGCTTGGAGCATCTCCCTGATGAGGAAAGGATGAGAGAGCTGGGACTCCTTAGCCTGGAGAAGAGCAGGCTGAGGGGAGACCTCATTAATGCCTGTAAGTATCTAAGGAATGCAGGGAGGATGGAGCCTCTGTTTAGTAATTCCCAGTGACAGGATGAGGGGCAATGAGCACAAGGTGGAACGTGGGAAGTTCCAATTAAATATGAGGAGAAACTTCTTTACTATGAGGTTGACAGAGCCCTGGGACAGGCTGCCCAGGGATGCTGTGAGGTGTCCTTCTCTGAAGACATTCCAAACCCACCTGGATGCAGTCCTGAGTAATGTGCTCCAGGTGATCCTGCTTTAGTGGGGGGTTGGACTGGATGATCTCTAGAGGTCCCTTCCAATTCTGACAATTCTGTGATTCTGTGAAATAGAGCTAAGTAAGTTATTGAAAAGCTTTTCTTCTCCAGTCCCTTGCCCACTGAAAAGCATGGAGATAATTCTGCAGAATATGACAGGTACTTTCAAATAGAAATACCTGAAATGGAGCTTCCCAATGGTGTTGTAAGTAAGCAGCAGGTTTTCCCCTTTTTCCTTTATGTTCCTGTAAAACTTGTTTCAAATCCAGGAAAAATAGCCTGTGCCTGAGGCCACTTTATTTTTCTATTGTTCCCACATAAAAGCTCACAAGTTGCAGCACAAGTAAAACAATTTTGTGATCAGAATTAGCTGCAGGCCCCAGAGACTGGATGAAACCCTGCTGCAGGTGGGAGTGAGCAGTGCAACAGCAGAGCCACAGGGCTCCAGCTGGGAGAGATACTAGTCCAGGAGGCACTAGTCTTCATCTGTAAGTCTTCAAAATCTCTTTTTGTTGGCTAGCCACCTAACTCCTCCTTTCTAGGATTTAT